ACTTGTCTACACCCCAGGAGGATAAATGGGCCTTAGGACAAGGAAGAATTAGAAAGTGACCCCGGTGGTATTTAGGAAACAAACTGGCCTTTCCCCAAAGGATAAAGTGGAAGGCTATAAAAACACTTAGTGATTCTTTCCATAGGGGAAGAGATGCAAATTAGACATGGTCACTTGAGTTTTCACAGGATTAGGACTAGCAACAACCGCCTAACAGGTCTGAGAAGCTTGCCCACTCTATGTCTGCAACTCAGGCAAGCTCCTTTGTTAGAAGCTATGCAGAGGACAGGGACATGACCTGGAGAGAACCGTCAACTGGACTCTATCCATATGACACCATATAGAGGATTTAAACATATGTTGGTCCTAATTGACACCTTTATAGGCTGGATTGAAGCCTTTCCTACCTGTTCAGAAAAAACGATGAAACAGATTTGACCACCCCAGTCTCTCTAGAGTGACAATGGACCTTCTTTTACCTTTCAAATAACTCAGAAAGTGGCAAAGGCTTTAGGAATAAAGTACCACCTTCATTCTGCTTTGTGGCTTTACTCTTATGGAAAGGTTGAGAGTGCCAGTCAAAAAAGTGAGTTTTGGCAAAACTCTGCAAAAAGAAATCTGAGTCCTGACTCTAGTTGCTACCAATAGCACTCATAGGGGTTCATAGCATGCCCCAAACTCGGCTAAGTTTTGAGACTTACAATATTTCATCAATCTGGGTCAAGTATAACAGGTCATCCAAATCGATGGGAACACAGTCCTATCAGCTCCTGGCCCCAGAGGACCACCTACTATCTGCCCTAAAGACCAAGTGCTTTTAAAAACTTGGATCGAGCAGATCAGATAAGGCCAAAATGGAAAGACCCACCTTTCACAGATCTTTGCCACGTCCACTGCAGTAAAAATGCCAGAGACAGCTAATTATGTTTCTAGATTAAATTTAGGACTTAGGCCCACCTGAATGGTCTAAAGAGCAAGATCACCCAAAAGGAAAAAGCTACTCCTGTGAGCCTCTGGAAGACTTAAAATTTCTCTTCAAAAAGCAAAGCTCTAGTACTGCTACAGATGAGTAAGCAAGGCCTCGCTAAGGCCAAGGCTCTTAGACTCTTGATACTTTATGTGACATACTTCTGTAACATACACAATTCTCTACAGAACGCATGGAAATCTGACCTGCTCCTCACATCTGGACTAATAGTAAAGTTTCTTTCCCCCCTCCAACAGACAGCTCAAGGATCATTAACTCTTTTCTCATTATCTTCTGATAGGTTTTTCTTCCTTCAACCCATCCACAAGTCACAACACCCTAAAGTACATAATCATTGAACAGGGTCCACACCCACTTCTAGCTAGAGGAAGCTATAGAAGACAGGGACCTTCACTCCTTCAGCACTGCATATGTATGTAAATATAAATGACCTAGGAGGTAGGGGTGGCAAAGTTGAATGGGAAAATGAGCAGGATCTGCCAATCACAAGATCCCAGGGCAAAGTGATGATCCCAAAAGTAGAACTCTGGAGCTCCCAGGAGATGAGGATGGCATAAAGGACCCACCAACACGGAAGGCCGATAACTTGGCAAGTTTGTATGGTAGCCTGCACCACATCTGAATGTGGCATGTACTTTTATTTTTGCTTTTACCCTCCTTTTCTCTTTGTTGGGCCCAAATTCATTGCAAAGCTGGTTTCTCCCATAGCTGTTTATCCCATGCTGTTCATATAAGACTTTTGGCACCATTTATTATATTGTGTTATCTGATTGATTGTTCAAGGCAAGAAGAATCTGTGATACTTCTGATTGATGAGCCATTTCTAAAGAAACAACCCTGTAATACCTCAGCCTCCCAGAGTGCTGAGATTACAGGTATGTGCCATTGTCTTTCTCAACCAATAACCCTAAATTCCTGAACAGTGGAGAGGAAAAATAAGAGGTGCTGGGAAGAAATGCAGAAAGACCAAGGAAGTCTTCAAGGGGAAGGCAAACTCAAAGGGATTTCAGACTAAAAAGGAAATAGATAGTAAGTCAATATTCTTACTGGTCGATTCCTTGCACGAGACGCCCATTTTCAATGCTAGTCATTTAAGTGTTTTGATCCCCAACTCACTTGACTCTTGCCCAACATCATATGTGTTATCTCTTGTACAGCGTTCCAGCTCTCGAAATATTTATGTCCCCCAAAGACTCAACTCTCTCTGGTGAATGGCCTCACCCTGGGCCTGTCCTTCTTCCTCACCGTTGGGGGTCATTGGGCTCTCAATGAATCCAACTGACTATTTTAACTCCCAATTTTTTGGCCTGCCCTCGGGGTACGCATTCTGTAAATGAACACTCAACATGTTTATAGTGAAAATCTAATGGCTGAGAGCTTAGCCAGTATAAACACATTCTTTCTACTTCTGCAGGTCTGCATTCTGATAAAGAATTGCTTAGGTTTATAGAGCTGAGTGAGTCTTTTCTAAGCGTTTTGTAAGTATTTAAAATCACCAAGTGAAAATTCTTTGGATTTTATCCTGCGCGCGGTGCAAAGCTCAGGTGATCTAGACTCCTAGAACTTGCGGCAAAGCGGACCGGCAGACTCTGGGGAACGCCGATGACCTCGTAGTAACCTATTGCCACCTCACCCCTACCCAGGCCTGTAGCACTGGCATCTGAAGCTGTGGATGGTCCTACATCACCGTTCCACATTGCCAGGCTGTAAACCAGATTCGAAGCGCTTCTCAGCGAAGCTGGCCACAATGGCTAGAGAGGCTCCAGCACTGGGCCCCCACACCCAGAATGCCCTTTCCAAATGCAATCCGCAGTAGCAAAGGCGCATTTGTGCTGCGGTAAAGCTGCGTGCGAGACAGGACTGTGTGTACTGGGGTCATTTGGAGCCAGGGATTGAGGGTTTGGACCACATAGGGCTCTGGGAGTCGGTCTCTCGGGTAGTGAACATAGGCGAGATGTGCTTCGGAACCGCTGGCGTGGGGCCTGGCCTAGCTCGGCCTACAGGAACGGCAGGTAGCTTTGTTCCCTGAGCCTGAATTCGGAACGATCGCGGACGCTAGGACTGCGTTTCGCGACCAGCACCGTCGTCTGAGCAGTGAGCTCGGCTGTCAGGCTCCCTGTATCCGAGCCACGGCAGAGCTGGCAGCGCGCAACGGGACAGCCTCGCCACAGCCCCCGCAGAGGCCGCGGCGCTGGCCCCACCGCGTCCCCCAGCCAACGCGGGCGGCTCCACGCGTCCGCCACTCGGCTGCGCAGCCAGCCCCACATTCCATTTAAAAATAACACCCACGTGCGCCGGTAAACAAGCGCGCGCGCTACCAGGGCCGCGCGTCCAGGGCGAGCTGGTGGAGCGCGCCCGCCCTCCTCCCGCACGTGTCGGCTTGCTCCTCCCCCGCGGCTCCGGCGCAGCCCAGACTCCGCCCCCAGCGGGCCGCGCCCCGCCCCCAGCCCCAGGCTCCCGGGCCCTAGCGCCCGCGCGGCACCGTCGCGCCCCTTCGAGGGCTCTGTAAGTTTCCTCTGCTGAAACCCGCTCACCGAGGAGGGACCGGCTACCTCGGGGGTGCACGTTCCTTCCACCCCCTAGCCCTCTCTCGTCCGCCTTTCAATCCTCCCGCCGTGAGCGCTCGGACTGCCTTCGCGATCGCTCCCTCGCCCTTCCAGGCCTCTTTCCCCTCCTTCCTCTGGTTTTACTCGATTGTTTATTATTTGCTGGGGGGCGGGCACGGGGGGCGGAGAGGGGCGTCTGGTGGGCCTGCAGACCGGCGGCCGGGGCCAGTCAGCGCGCGGCGTGGCTTGACGAGTAAGCGGCGCAGCGAATAGCGACGCGGCGCAGAGCTCCGGGTCACGCGCGCGTGGAGACAATGACATCATCTGTTTGTACGCGTCGAACTAGCTTGCTGCAGGGGCGGGGCCGTGCGTCACTTGAGTGACGGCCCCTGCGCAAAGCCCGGAGTCCGGAGCCGGCAGTGTGGGCGGACCCCTGCGTAGTACCTCCGCGGCTGGAGCCTTTTGTGTATCGGGTTGCTGCGGGGTGCACTTCTAGACTCTGACATATCTCCAGTGACTTACAAGGAGTATGTAAAAGAAAAAAAGAAAGATTTGAGCCGAGTGCATAGGCTTTGGGTGTGCATGTCGCATTTGGTGCACTCTCAAGATGCAAATGAACGCTAGGTATCACGGATAGTAGGGTAAGGACTTGGGAAAATGCTCCCGTTCCTGTTCTAAACAGAAGAGGGCCCGTTTTTTCTCTAAGACGCCAGAAATGCAGTTAGCTGTTTTGCTGTTGCTTACAAATTTAAGTAAATTGTTTTACACTTTCAGTTGGGAATCAACTCTTAACGTTTAGGATGGGAGAATAATTTGCTTTCTTCGGAGGCTCACTTTTTTCTAGTTTGCTATCAAACATGAAAAGCGAAACACGTCCAAGGTAAAGGGCTCAGTGCACACCTTTTGGTGCCCGATCAAATCTGAGGTCATCGGCTTATCAAAGTCGCGCAGGCACCAACCTCTTCGCCAGCCAGTATTTCCACGCCGAGGCAACCCTTGCCATCTGCGGTCAGCATCTTATCTCGGGTGTTACCTGGTGTCAGGTTCTAATAGGGAATCAGATAGCAAGGCGGGCGGCTGTGCAGGCCAGGGACCCTGGTGCCAGGCACCTGGCCCGAATCTTGAAGGCCACGCGTTTGCGCTCGGAGCGTTCGGGACTCAGCGCTTACTCCCCTAGCCCGGATCTCCCCGGCTAGCGTCGAGCTTTGTTGTCTTAGAGGCTCCCGCTGGGGAGGAGGAGCCAGCGGAGTCCCAGCGCGCGCCCCGACACCCGTGCCCGCAGTCCCGCGGAGCTGGGCCGCGCAGGCGCGCCCGAGCACACACGCGCCCTCATACACGCACACACGGCAGCACACTCGGCCCCCGCCCCAGCCCTCCCCCTGGGCGGGGACCCGCCCGCTCGCCGTCAGCTTAGGTTGAGGCTCCCTGCGTGTCTATAACTTTGTGCTTTTGCCGCGGCCGCCCTGCTCGTGGAAGGGAGGCGGAGGAATGTGGAAGGTGACGGCGCGCAGGCTGACAGGCGGTTTCTCGAGCGGGCTGCGGCGGCGGTCCGAGCGCCACTCCTTTGCCAGGGTCGCGCGCCTTCCCCTCGCCGTGCCCGGGGCCCGCGCGGGATTGTGCGTCCTCCCGCCTCGTCCCTGAAGGGAAGGAACCGAGGTAGGCGCCGGAGCTGTGCAGCGGGCAGCCACCTTCGCGGTGACTCCGGATCTGCTTCCGAGCTGGGCCAGGCGCTTCCCTTTTCCCTCCCCGTGACTCCGTGTGCGCGCCCCGTTCCCTCCCGCTAGTGTTTTTAAAGGACTTGAGGGAAGGGGGAAACTGTCAAGATGGCAGCAGCGGGAGCAAGGAGGTGATGAACGTGCTGTCCGGGTTTTCTGGCAGCCCGGGAGACTTGGCGCTCGCCGACCTGTTGGAAGATTTATGTTCCGACTTGTTCCCACCCCGCCCCCGCCCCCCTCCTGTTCCTGGCTGGAAAGGGGACAGAAGGTACCGCGTCCGCGCGAAAATAAACACACAAGTCCCCGAAGTGGTCGTTCCTGCAGGGCTCGACCCTTTGCCAGCACCCACCAGGCTGCCTGCCCCTTCTTTCCTTCTCTTTTCCTGGAAGTGGTGGGGGCCGGTCTGCGCCCAGGCCCGGCCCGCGGGCGGAGAGGGGAGAAAGGGGTGCTCACGTCTTACCAGGGCTCCGGCCACTCCGCTGGAGGATCGCGGGGGCGGCTGGGCCAGGGAGGGGGAGAGAAGTGTAGACGCCACAGACTTTGGCGGCCGCGCCGTGTTAGGCACTTGCGCGGGCTGGAGCGAAACATAAACAAACGCACGCCCGATCGGGTTCCGACCGAGGCTGGGCTGCACCGCGGCCGCCCCAGCCCACTTTAAAGGCGCGGCCCGCCCCTCCCCTCTCGTCCTCTCCCTCTCGTCCCCTCCCCTGCCCCTCCCCCTGCCCGGGAGAGACCTGCCGATCTGGTGGTGGCGGGGGAGGGGGCTGCCCCGTGCGAGGCAGTCCATTCGCTCGCGTCTCCCCAGCGGCCCGGCCAGGGGGCGGCGTCTGCTGCGCCAGGTTCTTGGGACGCACGTCCCCAGGTCTGTTCCTGGGAGCCGGGCGCGGTGCGGTTGCGGAGCTGCCGCGGCGGCGTTGGTGGCGGCGGCGGGCGAGGGCTCGCCCAGGACTGGGCTCCAGCCCGGGATAACCAACTCTCCTCCTCTTTCCTCTCGCGCTTCTCCAGGCGGCGACAGCAACAGCAGCGGCGCCCGGGAGCCGGAGCCTTCGCGGCGCCCCTGTCCCTCCCCCGCCGCACCCCGCCCGGGCGCGAGAGGAGAGCGCGAGAGCCCAAGCCGCGGGCGGGCGGCGAAGATGGCAGAGGCAGCGGCTTCCCCAGTCCCGGTCTCTCCTCTCGAAGTGGAGGTGGACCCGGAGTTCGAGCCTCAAAGCCGTCCGCGCTCTTGTACGTGGCCCCTGCAGAGGCCGGAGCTCCAGGCTAGCCCGGCCAAGCCCTCAGGGGAGACAGCCGCCGACTCCATGATCCCCGAAGAGGAGGATGATGAAGACGACGAGGACAGCGGCGGCCGGGCCAGCTCAGCCATGGCGATCGGGGGTGGCGGGAGCTGCACTCTAGGCTCTGGACTGCTCCTGGACGACTCAGCCCGGCTGCTGGCTCCCGGAGGGCAGGACCTCGGGTCTGGGCCAGCACCCACGGTGGGCGTGCTGAGCGGGGGAACGCAGACGCCACTGCAGCCTCAGCAGCCTCTACCGCCTGCGCAGCCCGGGGCAGCTGGGAGCTCTGGGCAGCCGAGGAAATGCTCTTCTCGACGGAACGCCTGGGGGAACCTGTCCTACGCCGACCTGATCACCCGCGCCATTGAGAGCTCTCCGGACAAACGGCTTACTCTGTCCCAGATCTACGAATGGATGGTGCGTTGTGTGCCCTACTTCAAAGATAAGGGCGACAGCAACAGCTCTGCGGGCTGGAAGGTGCGTACCCTCACTGGGCTGGCGGCTGGACCTACCAGGCCTCCTGCGCAGCGCGAGACGCGCCCAGAATCCGTCGGACCAAGTGCACAGACGGGCGCGGGGCAGAGGGATGGCAGGGGCGCCTCCCCTGTGAGGCTTTGTTGCGGGGGGGTGGGGGGTCTTACTTTGACAGTTGTGGGTGGGTAACCTAGGGACAAGCTTGGAGCGGGGAAGGAAGCTCCAGCGGGAGCTTCAGGCCTGATTAGGTAGGGAGGGGAGCAAGGGACTCTGACGAGGGGAGGACACACGGATTGAAGTGCATTTGCTGAATTACTGTGACAGCGGAGATGTGGTAGGCCCTTGGCTTACTTTGGGATAGACTTCGCCCTGTTGGGGTGAAGTGAAAGGGCTGTTTGGGGGATATTTGACACTCCGAGCGGTGGAGCTGTTGGATGTGTGGCTTCCACCGAGTCACAGGAAGGTAGTGCTGGATGAATGACAACCTTTGTATCCTAGCTTTCAGACTGTGGACGTTAACTCCAAACAGCACATCGGTCCCAGTAGGAAAAGTAATGATTGCAAACCTTTTTAGTCGGGCTCCTCTTTTTTATCTTTACTCCTCAGAGATTTTGATCCAGTAAATCAGCTGGCTGTAAACTCTGAAATGTTTTGGGGCCAGTTGTGCTATTCAGTATAGACTGGCAGCACCTGCTGCTCCCTACCCGGCCTGGTCTCCGGCACTGTTTGTTGTGGGTAGCAGGCATCCGGGACTGATTGGGCCTGCACTCAACTGAACTCTTAGGTGGAGAGGGAGGTTTGGTGACAGGGCTGGGCCATAATGGCTTCTACCTATGGAAGAACCTGAAGAGAGACTCCAAGGTTCCTTTTAGGCCTCTTGGGGCACCGGACACGTGGTAAGGAGAGAGGTGTGGAAAGGCCTATGATGTAATGACTTCCTGCAGTTGGGCATCCAAAGAGATTAACCCCTTTGCCCCTGCTGGGCAGCTGATAGTCAGCTCCCTCTTCCTGGGCACCTTCCGGCCTCTGCTCCCCAGATATGTGTGTGCCAGAATCTGGCAGATGGGCCTCCTGGGAGTCCTGTGTGATTGGAGATCTTTTTTATCACTCTCTCCTATTGGAAATACTGTTTTGTTTTGTTTTTTTTTTTTCCTGAAAAAGATAGTTGCTTCCTCCTTCGGTCCCTTCCTTGTCTTCATTGGGAAGCCCTGTGCCTTTTCAGGGTCCAGGCTGTCTAGTTCTTTGGCATAAGAACTCTGTGATCGTATTGGAGAGTGGAACTGAGGTACTGGAGAAGAGCTTGTATATGAAAAAGCTAGAGTTTAGAGTGGGAAACCTTTTAACTTGCTTTTTGGAAAACTGCAAAAAAGTACTTGTTCTCCCCTCCTCCAGCTGATATTGGAGAGGTCTTGGTTAAATACGTTAAATGATATACTTTGATGTTAATGCCACAGATCTGTCTCATTTTTACATGACAGAAATGCTGACACTGTGAATCTCATAGTTGTTCTAATTTTACTGGTTTACAAAGGAATGCCAGTTGTGTGAGCTGAGGGCTGTTTACAGAAAGGATGAGAGTTTCCTGTCAAAGAATTGCTAATGTGGTATCTTCAAAAACTAGGTTCCCTAGTGCCTGGCAAGGGTTAATCTCCACTTACAGAGTCTGAGAAGATAGATTTGGTGCTTTGGAATGTATTTCAAATTTCTTACACTTGAAATTAAGTCCTGCATGTTTGAATATCGTGTAGAGATTTCACTCACTTGAAATTCAGTTCTGCATGTTTGAATATGGTGTAGGAATCTGTTAAAAAATAATTTTTAGCTGAAAAGTTAATGTACAAAGGGTTTCCACCTTTCTGAGATTTTAAAGAATTACAAAAGTAATTCAGTACCACAATAACATTTGTTGCTACTGTGTTTGTAGGTAAGGAAAATAAGCTTAGTGAATTTAATTTTTTTTTTAACTTTAGTGTAAGAAAGTGGTATCACCAGAATGAGCTTGGGCTTTTTACTACAGTTGGCAGGATTTGCAGTGGACCTAGTCATAAATGGCTTTATATTTATCCTTTTCTCTCCTTCTTGTGGTTTCTTTTTCTGTTCTTGCTGTCTCATTTCTCTTCAAATGAACATCTTATGAAATACTATAAATTGAAATTGAAATACTGCAAATTGTTGAGACTTAATATGGGGCACACATTTTAGGACTATTGAAAGTATTTGTTATCATTTCTATTTTGAGGCTGTCATGTGGCAACTAATCTTTGAAGACAAAAGGCATAATTTAGTTCCAGTTTTTGTAAGATGACCTTCATCGAAAGGTGCAGCCATGCAGGAACTTCCAAATCTTTGATGATGAAGAGGGCCTTTTGAAACTGTGGCTGGTTTCATATTCTGATTATGACTAATAGGTCTTCCTTGTACTTATGGTCTAGTGAGGGTAGGAGAAGAGAGGAAAGGGAGCGAGAGATCAGGAGCTAATTGTGACTCATTTCCATGCATCCACGCTTAGGAATTGATCCTTGTCATGGTTTGTCATAGCGGAAGCATGCACATGCATTTAAACCACAGTACTTTCATTCCAGTACTTTCATTCTGAGTTATGCATTTAATTTCTAAAAATGTTTTGAATTTAGGTTAGCCTCTTCTAGTCATGTATACATACTGGGCCTATATGGAGGGGTGAGGCCTTATTTTTAAGACTTTTTGAGCAGTTGAATTACTTTGTAACCAGAATTATTGTCCTGAGATGTCAGAATGAAAGAATTAGAAAAGGGGCCTTGGTGACTAAATTTCGACCGGTGGTTCTCATTCCTCATTGCACCTCAGAATCATGTGGAGGCTTTTGAATAAGATAAGTACTCATAGAGTTTGATTTCATTGGGCCTATGTGGCTTAGCAGTAGTAGTTTGGTTTTTTTCAAAGTTTTTCAGGTAATCCTAGAATATAATCAGAGTGAAGTTTGGTGGTTTAGCTTAATCTTCTTACTTTATTGGTGAAGAATCTGTTCTTCAAGAAGGTAATGATCTAAGGATCAGGGAGATTAGCCCAGCAGCATTAGTGCCTGCCTGACAAGCACAAGGTCCTGAGTTCAATCCCTGGTACCAAAAAAAAAAAAAAAAAAAAAGATAATGATCTAAGATCACACAGCTGGTTAGCATATAGCTAAGCAGTGGTTACCATTGTAGAGGTCCTCCTTTTTCTTTTTTTTTTAGATTAAGTTTATTGGTACATTTTAGATACACATAATGATCACATTCATTATAGGGAATTTGTACCTGTACATGATATACTTGGTTACTTTTTTATCCCATTCCCTTACTCTGATTTCCCCTTGGCACATACAAAAGCTTTTTCCCCCTTTTTTCTTTCTTTTTTTTTTTTCTTTTCCCTTCCCTTTCCCCAGGTCTTTGTTCTTTATCACACTATTCTTTTTAATTTGAACTTTAAAAAAAATTACTAAGTAATGGATAGTTTTAAGTAAGTAGGGGTTACTCTCTGGGAAAATCCGTTGCACCTCGCTCTACATCTTCTTTATCATTTTAGCATCAGGACAAGCACTGTGAATGGAGCGCTGTGTCCATGTAGCTGCACCATGCTTTTCAGTGTGGGTGCTTAGAAAGTACAAAGTGAAAAAAGCTGCTGTGTGAGGTAGCCTGTAACAAAAGAGGAAGCCCTTGGTCAGTGCACAGTTGTCAGATATGCATTGTGCCGGTGAGAAGGGTGATGGCTATCTCACAGGTTCCCTTACCTCCTTCAGGCATTAAAGTAGAGCTGAATAATCAGATGTGGTTATGAGGGGAAAAGGTTACATTTCCTTTAATTCAGATGAAGTTTACTTGCAGTGCACCCATAGTTGAACTAGCTAGTTCTCTCGGTCCCTCTTAGGGAGATTTCTGAGGACCATAGGGTTTACCAGGAAGCCTGTTCATCACTTACTTACTCCTCTGTCCATACATGCACATTTATTTTTTCCTTCACCCAGAGCAGGATCATATTAGGCAGCCCTGAGTTCCTGCAGGATGTTGTGTGACGGCAGCTCGTTAGCATGTCGGTAGCTGACTGCAACAGCAGAGGCTGTTTGGTCATGAGCCTTCCTTCATGGAGAATGTGTACTTTTAGGGCTTCTTGCCAAGATGAAATGATGGGGAACTTACCTGTTATGTACTGCTTAATTTTGTCCTTACTTTTTTTTGTTGTTTTTCGGATTACTTCACCCTACTGAATTAAGAAATTTTAATTTAACTGCAGCTTTGTTTTAAATTTATTTTTAAATCTGAAAATGACCATGTCACAATAATTCTATGTTGGCACATAATTTTGAACCTTGACACCTTTTGGAGTAACTCATCAAATGTCCAGTGTGGTTGTATGTGGAGAACCTGTCTTCTGCTTCCCTGTGTTGCCAAAATGCTGTTTTGTAATTTCCTTTGGCAGTACTGCCTTCGTCAGTGATTCTCAACTCACATACTTCCTCTTTCTACAGCAGCAGTACGCTAGGGGGACTGTTTTTCCTCTTTTTGAAAGCTGTGTCATTGACCTATGAAGTGAAGAAATTGGCTTTTAGGCTTTGATCTGTGAGCCTGTGGTAGCAGAGAGACTTTTTTAAAAAAAGAAGCTAAGTTTGTGTTTTCATATGTTTATTTCCTTCTCAGAAAATGAAATGAAACTATACCAGACTTATTTTTAGGAGATTTTAGGAGGGTTCTATTTTAAGAAAATGACACCATAGAACATCTTGTAGTTAAACTTTTTAGTATTGTGTTTGTGAGTCCTAGTTAAAACCTCTACTAGATGTTTTTATTTGGAAAATTAATGAATAGGCCTTGGCCAACTAAAAAGCTATTTATGTAGGCTGCCAAAAAAAAAAAAAAAAAAATCAGACACCATCCATCTAGAGCTTTTGGTGACAGTGCAAAGATAAAATTGTATAGGACTTCACATTCTGTGAGTACCCTACTTCCCCATTGCTGGCTGGTGCCTCAGATTTCAGATTTTTAGGGCTG